TCTTCTCCCTCCATCCCTCCTTCTCTTTTTTTCCTTCTTTCTTTCCCCCCTCCATCTCCCTCCTTCTTCTCTCCCCCCTCCTCCATTTCCCTCCTTCTTCTCTCCCCCCTCCATTTCCCTCCTTCTTCTCTCCCCCTCCATCTGCCTCCTTCTCTACCCTTTCTCCATCTCCCTCATTCTCTCTCTCCTCTATCTTCCTCCTTCTCTGCCCCCTCCATCTCCTTCCTTCTCTCCCTCTTCTACCTGCCTCCTTCTCTCTCCCCTTCTTCTTTCCCCCCTCCATCTCCCTCCTCTCCCCCCTCCATTGCCTCCTTTCTCTCCCCCCTCCTTTTCTCCCTCCTTCTCTCCCCCCTCTCCCCTCCATCTCCCCCCTCCATTGCTCCCTTCTCTCCCCCCTCCTTCTCTCCCTCCTTCTCTCTTTCCCTTCTCTCCCCCTCCATCTCTATGTTCAGTTAACACTCAGGGACAAATGTAGTTTTATTGGAGATGGCTGACAATCTGCTGGCTGGATAAACTGATGGAGGTTTCTCTCAAGCTTGTGTTGGTGAAAGGCCAATGTGGTGCCAATATTTAAAAAGGGATCAAAATCTTTAACAAGTAATTATAGACCTGTTAGTTTAACATCTATTGCTAGGAAGATACTGGAGAGTTTAATAAAATGTGTTTTTGCTAGAAATAAATATTTTAAGTAACAGCATGGATTCATGAAAGACAGAAGTTGTCAAACAAATTTGATTTCTTTTTATGAGGATGTGAGCAAAACCTTAGACAAGAGAGGTGGCGGTAGACGTGGTATACTTGGATTTTGCAAAAGCGTTTGACACAGTTCCCCACACATCGCTAATGTGTAAGGTAAAGTCTATAGGCTTGGAAAAATCAGTTTGTAAATGGACAGAAAACTGGCTAAAAGACTGTATTCAGACAGTAGTGGTTGAAGCAATTGTAAAGGTTATTTTTTTTCTTGGAAAATAACAAACATGCTATACTTCCCTGCTTTGTGTAGTGGTTTTGCACAGAGCAGCCTGGATATTCCTCTTCTCAGGTCCCCTGCAGGCTCTCCTGGCCCCTCTCTCCTGTCCGTTGGGTGCCCCCACAGCAAGAATTTTGCTATGAGGGCATCCGTGTGTCTATTCACACATGGAGTCATAGCTTGGCCCCACTCCCTCTCTCTCCTCATTGGCTGACTGGCTGTGATTCACAGCAATGGGAACCAATGGCTCCCATTTGCTGTCTAAACCAATGAGGAGGCAGAGACCTGGGATAGCTGAGGCTGTCGTTCAGATTGCTGGATCTCGATGAGGCTCAGGTAAGTATTGAAGGGGCTAGGGGCATTGCTGCACACAGAAGGTTTTTACCTTCATGCATAGAAGGTAAAAAACCTTGAGCCTTTACCACCACTTTAATGATTCATACTCTTTATGGTCTAAGGTTATTAGTGGTGTACCTCAAGGTTCAGTGTTGGGACCCTCACGTTTTAATATACTTATAAACGACATAGGGTCTGGGATTATAAATCCCATTTCAGTCTTTGCAGATGACACCAAGCTGTGCAGTGGAATAACGTCCTTAAAGGATGTCTCCCTTACAAGCCGACCTCAATGCACTGTTTAATTGGGCAACTATGTGGCAAATGAGGTTTAATGTTAATAAATGTAACGTTATGCACTTAAGGGCTAAGAATATGTATGCATCATACATACTAGGGGGGTACAACTGGGGGAATCAATGGTGGAGAAGGATCTGGGAGTTCTGGAGGATAATAGGCTTAATAATGGCATGCAATGCCAAGCTGCAGTTTCAAAAGCGAGTAAAATTCTTTCTTGTATTAAAAGAGATATGGACTCCAGAAAGAGAAATATAATTTTACCCCTGTACAAATCATTAATAAAACCTCATCTGGAATATGCAGTTCAGTTTTGGGCATAAATTCACAAAGAGGCTATCTGGGAACTGGAGAAGGGCAACCAAATTAATAAGAGGTATAGAGGAGCTCCTCTATGAGGAAAGATTAGAGGAACTGAAAAGAGGAGATTAAGGGGGGATGTGATCAACATGCATAATTACATAGGTGGTCCATATAGTGAACTCGGTGTAGAGTTATTCACTTTAAAGTGTTACTAAACCCACAACAGTAAAATCAGTCTGTATATGCAGTACAGCATGCTTATTATACTCACTGTGGAACCTAAGTGGGTCCTAGGTTTAGTAAAACTTTAAGGTCACCACAAAGGTCAGGGGGGCCCTTTTTATGTGTGGATGAAAAGAGATTTAATCTCCAAAAGCAGCAGGGCTTCTTCACAGTAGGCAACACAAAAAAATGGCAACCATCCCAACCTATAACCAGCTTTAGTAGTAAGGTGCACATGGAAGGGCAATGCACATCGCAAACAAAACAAAGGATTTCCCAGCAACACGTACCAGCCAGCCTGCAAAACAACCAATTTGGCCCTGTCTTACAGTTTGCGTTAAAAACAGGGTTTTATTTGCACACATTTGTAAATACATGTGTAAGCCACAGTCCCATGTCAAGGGTCCTCTGCATATAGTAGGAGCACATGTATCAATGGATAGGTTAAGGGCAGGTGTGCCTGGAGGAGTCCATCCCTCCTTAAAGGTACAGGGATGCACTTGATGCCCAGCTATACCAAAATGACAGCAAAGGCATCCAGTGTGTCCTTGTGTCCAAATTAGCCAACTACACAAAAAATGGCAACTGTCCCAACCTATAACCAGCCTTAGCAGTATGGTGCATGTGGAAAGGCAATGCACATCACGAAAAAAACAAACAAAGGATTTCCCAGCAACACTTACCAGCCAGCCTGCGAAACAACCAATTTGGCCCTGTCTAACAGTTTGCGTTCAAAGCAATTTACTAAAATAATTGCATTTCCATGTTCTGTGTACTGTGAGAGACCAGATATAGTAATTGCAGGGTCCTTGGTTTAGTAACACTTTAAAGTCACGACAGAGGACAAGGGGGCCCTCTTTATGTCTGGATGAAAAGAGATTTAATCTCCAAAAACGGAAGGGCTTCTTCACAGTCGGTGCTGTGAAAATGTGGAATAGACTCCAAGAGCTGGTTCTGGATAGTTTGCAAAAAGGCCTGGATGCATTCCTTTTTTTACAAAATATAACTGGATACTAATATTTATAGGTACAGTTAATCCAGCAAATATCCGATTGCCTCTTGGGGGATCAGGAAGACATTTTTTTCCCCACTGTAGCAAATTGGATCATGCTTTATTGGTTTTTTTTTTCCATCCTCTGGATCAACTGAGGGTATATGATTGTGTATATGGTGGTTTTTGATTTGTGTGTATGAGATCTTTTTTTTTCTCTGTGGGTTGAACTGGATGGGCTTGTGTATTTTTTCAACCAGACACTAACTATGTAACAAATTAACCTCACGACAAAAGCACCTTTTTTTTAATTAAACATTTCCATATATACATACATATATTTTTAACTTTAAGGATATTTTTGTCTTACTGAGCCTACCTTACAGAAGAAATTAATTTTAAACCAGCAACTGTTGAGACAATGAACACCTTGGTCAGGTCTATGTACAGCATTATCTAGAGCAGTGATGGCGAACCTTTTTGAGCCCGAGTGCCCAAACTGCAACCCAAAACCAACTTATTTCTTTCAAAGTGCCAACACTGCAATGAAACCTGAATATCGAGCTTTTGGTTTAGAAAAAACAACTCGTACAGTAGTGCAAACTAATTAACAGTACAGGGATGACCAGAGACTGCGGACACAGTACAGGGATGACCAGAGACTGCGGACACAGTACAGGGATGACCAGAGACTGCGGACACAGTACAGGGATGACCAGAGACTGCGGACAGTACAGGGATGACCAGAGACTGCGGACACAGTACAGAGATGACCAGAGACTGCGGACACAGTACAGGGATGACCAGAGACTGCGGACACAGTACAGGAGATGACCAGAGACTGCGGACAGTACAGGGATGACCAGAGACTGCGGACAGTACAGGGATGACCAGAGACTGCGGACACAGTACAGGGATGACCAGAGACTGCAGACACAGTACAGGGATGACCAGAGACTGCAGACAGTACAGGGATGACCAGAGACTGCGGACACAGTACAGGGATGACCAGAGACTGCGGACACAGTACAGGAGATGACCAGAGACTGCGGACAGTACAGGGATGACCAGAGACTGCGGACACAGTACAGGAGATGACCAGAGACTGCGGACACAGTACAGGGATGACCAGAGACTGCGGACACAGTACAGGGATGACCAGAGACTGCGGACAGTACAGGAGATGACCAGAGACTGCGGACACAGTACAGGAGATGACCAGAGACTGCGGACACAGTACAGGAGATGACCAGAGACTGCGGACACAGTACAGGAGATGACCAGAGACTGCGGACACAGTACAGGAGATGACCAGAGACTGCGGACACAGTACAGGAAATGACCAGAGACTGCAAACAGTACAGGAGATGACCAGAGACTGCGGACAGTACAGGGATGACCAGAGACTGCGGACAGTAGTACAGGGATGACCAGAGACTGCGGCGACAGTACAGGGATGACCAGAGACTGCGGACACAGTACAGGGATGACCAGAGACTGCAGACACAGTACAGGGATGACCAGAGACTGCAGACACAGTACAGGGATGACCAGAGACTGCAGACACAGTACAGGGATGACCAGAGACTGCGGACACAGTACAGGGATGACCAGAGACTGCGGACACAGTACAGGAGATGACCAGAGACTGCGGACAGTACAGGGATGACCAGAGACTGTGGACACAGTACAGGAGATGACCAGAGACTGCGGACACAGTACAGGAGATGACCAGAGACTGCGGACACAGTACAGGGATGACCAGAGACTGCGGACACAGTACAGGGATGACCAGAGACTGCGGACAGTACAGGAGATGACCAGAGACTGCGGACAGTACAGGAGATGACCAGAGACTGCGGACACAGTACAGGAGATGACCAGAGACTGCGGACACAGTACAGGAGATGACCAGAGACTGCGGACAGTACAGGATGACCAGAGACTGCGGACATAGTACAGGGATGACCAGTGACTGCGGACAGTACAGGGATGACCAGAGACTGCAGACACAGTACAGGGATGACCAGAGACTGCAGACACAGTACAGGGATGACCAGAGACTGCGGACACAGTACAGGGATGACCAGAGACTGCGGACACAGTACAGGGGATGATCAGAGACTGCGGACACAGTACAGGGATGACCAGAGACTGCGGACAGTACAGGGATGACCAGAGACTGCGGACAGTACAGGGATGACCAGAGACTGCGGACACAGTACAGGGATGACCAGAGACTGCAGACACAGTACAGGGATGACCAGAGACTGCGGACACAGTACAGGGATGACCAGAGACTGCGGACACAGTACAGGGATGACCAGAGACTGCGGACACAGTACAGGAGATGACCAGAGACTGCGGACAGTACAGGGATGACCAGAGACTGCGGACACAGTACAGGAGATGACCAGAGACTGCGGACACAGTACAGGGATGACCAGAGACTGCGGACAGTACAGGATGACCAGAGACTGCGGACAGTACAGGAGATGACCAGAGACTGCGGACACAGTACAGGAGATGACCAGAGACTGCGGACACAGTACAGGAGATGACCAGAGACTGCGAACAGTACAGGAGATGACCAGAGACTGCAGACAGTACAGGAGATGACCAGAGACTGCGGAGAGTACAGGGATGACCAGAGACTGCGGACAGTACAGGGATGACCAGAGACTGCTGCAGACAGTACAGGGGATGACCAGAGACTGCGGACACAGTACAGGAGATGACAAGAGACTGCGGACACAGTACAGGGATGACCAGAGACTGCGGACACAGTACAGGGATGACCAGAGACTGCGGACACAGTACAGGAGATGACCAGAGACTGCGGACACAGTACAGGGATGACCAGTGACTGCGGACACAGTACAGGAGATGACCAGAGACTGCAGACACAGTACAGGAGATGACCAGAGACTGCGGACACAGTACAGGGATGACCAGAGACTGCGGAAAGTACAGGAGATGACCAGAGACTGCGGACAGTACAGGGATGACCAGAGACTGCGGACAGTACAGGGATGACCAGAGACTGCGGACATAGTACAGGGATGACCAGTGACTGCGGACAGTACAGGGATGACCAGAGACTGCAGACATAGTACAGGGATGACCAGTGACTGCGGACAGTACAGGGATGACCAGAGACTGCGGACAGTACAGGGATGACCAGAGACTGCGGACAGTACAGGGATGACCAGAGACTGCGGACAGTACAGGGATGACCAGAGACTGCGGACACAGTACAGGAGATGACCAGAGACTGCGGACACAGTACAGGGATGACCAGAGACTGCGGACACAGTACAGGGATGACCAGAGACTGCGGACACAGTACAGGGATGACCAGAGACTGCGGACACAGTACAGGAGATGACCAGAGACTGCGGACAGTACAGGGGATGACCAGAGACTGCGGACAGCACAGGGATGACCAGAGACTGCGGACAGCACAGGGATGACCAGAGACTGCGGACAGTACAGAGATGACTGCTGACCTTTGGGGAGGGAGGGGGAGCGGGTACCTGAATTTGACAGGTACCCGCTCTTACTTCCGCAGAGTTTTTTTTTTTATCTTACCTGTTCCTTTATCCAGCCGCGCGCTGTCTTCCCGGCTTCTGTAGTGTGGGCGCTCGTCGGACAGCCGGATGCCCAGTGCGCATGCGCGAGAAGCGCTGCGCTTTGTGATTGGCTTGGCGGCTTCTGGGATCTGTCATGTGTCCCAGGTACCGCCTTACCATTCACAAAGAGCACTGCTTCTTGTGCATGCGCACTTGGGACCCGGCTGTCACGCACACTACAGCCGGGAAGACAGCGCGCCGCTGGATTCTCCTGGCGTGCCCACAGATAAGGCTCGGCGTGCCGGCTGTGGCACGCGTGCCACGGGTTCGCCATCACTGATCTAGAGCATACAGAGGGGAGGAATAAGTAACAAACAAAACAACATATGGAATGCAGCAGTCAGGATGAGCTCCACAATCACATCCAAGTACTCCCTTACATCAAAGCCCCCAACATTCCCCCTATAATTCAGAGTTCCCCCTTACATCAGAGCCTCCTTTCATCCTCCTTATACATTCTTCTGAGTGCCCACTTACATCAGTACCTCCAGAGTACCTTTTTACATCCTCCAGAGTTCATCCTTAGTACCTCTAGAGTGCCCCCAAAGGGGGCACTTTGAAGGATGTAAGGGGTCACTACCTCCAGACTGCCCCCTTACATCCTTCTCCAGAGTTCCCCCTTAGTACTACTGTACTAGTACTGTCTGAGTGGCGTATTAGGCCACTGGAACACTTTCCGTAGTGGCGCGAGGTAGGGATGCCACCTCATCCCTTTAAAGCTGAACACATATTATTTACACAGGTTCTGTGGCTGATTAAGTTGGTAATTAACCACTTGTCTACCGTGCACTTATACCCCCTTTGTGCCCAGGCCAATTTTCAGCTTTCAGCACTGTCACACTTTGAATTACAATTGTGCGGTCATGCAACACTGTACTCATATGGCATTTTTATAATTTTATTCACACAAATAGAGCTTTCTTCTGGTGGTATTTAATCACCGGTGGGTGTTTTATTTTTTGCACTACAAACAAAAAAAAGAGCAAAAATTTGAAAAAAAAAAAAAGTTTTTCTTTGTATTATAAAATTTTGCAAGCAGGTAATTTTTCTCCTTCACTGATGTGCTTTGATGAGGCTGCACTGATAGGCAGCACTGATGGACACTGATAGGCGGAACTGATGAGGTAGCAGAGATAGGCAACACTGATAGGCGGCACTGATGAATTGGCACTGATGAGGCGGCACTAATGATGCTGCACTGATATGCAGCAATGATGGGCACTGATAGGCGGCACTGTCGGGCAGCACTGATGGGCGGCACTGACTTGTGTCATTGCTGGGCAGCACTGCTGGGCACTGATGGGTGGCACTACTAGGCACTGATGGGTGGCACTGCTGGGCACAGGTGGGTGGCACTGCTGGGCACTTGTGGGTGGCACTGCTGGGCACAGGTGGACGGCACTGCTGGGCACTGCTCATCAGGCCGATAACCGGCAACTGCATTTACCAGTGATCTGCTATGTCACTGGACACAGCTGATCACATGGCAAAAGCCTGTTGTGATTGGCCTTTTACCACATCACATGATCAGCTGTGTCTGTAGGACACAGCGATCATGGAGAATGCCGGGTGCACCCCCCCCGGGGCGAGCGGGAGGGTGCATTCTGGGAGGACATCATATGACGCCCTCCCAGAAATGGACAACTGCGCTGCAGTCGTCATTCAGCTAAAGCGCGGTTAGCAAGTGGTTAAACGGACTCATCTGCATTAAATTACAATGTTACTATGGTAACATTGCACTACTTTGATAAAAGTATTAAAAAGAAAAAATAAAATTTTTTAAAAAAAGTAAAAAATACTATTGAATTGAGAATTTACAATAAAAAATTTTGTGTGGGCGAGCAGTGGCTCTGGGCAAAGTGACATAACTTTTCTATTTCGGATTGTGAACGCGCCCCTCACTGCCCCCCTTTGGTCCAGGGAGCGAAGAGAGAACAACACACTAAGTAAAAGCACTACATTTTACACACAAGTTAGATTAGCACATTTAACACTTGGATCGCCCCTATTAACCCTTTGATCACCTCCTCCCCAGACAGTGCCATTAGTACAGTGTCAGTATATAACATTTTTCACTGATCACTGTATTACTGACACTAGCGACGTCAGGGTCTGTAAGCGTCCCTCCCAGCCAGGGTCAACTAGCATTAGATTGCCCGCATACAATCGCACTCACATTATAGGTCACTGATCACCGCCATTACTAGTATAGTGTATATAGATCAATATATTGATCACAAACAGAATTATACCAGTGCCTCCTTTGTATAGTGTCCCCAAAAATGCAGTGTTAGCAGGATCAGCTCCATTCGCTACCAGCACTAGTGTTTAGCCCCTCCTCTGCTTTCCACAGAAGATTTGTACCAATTGATTGTGGGCCAAAGCAACTTATACGCACAGCAATACATTTGCCCACCCAAATTCAGCTCTTGCCAGACAATTCGCATGGAAACCTATCACGGTTTCTGAATTTAAAACTTTTTTGGGCCTAACCCTCAACATGGGCATTACAAAAAAGAAAGAATTGTGGTCATATTGGCCCACAGACCAGATTCATCATATGCCCGTGTGTTATACTAAGTAAAATAATAAAGGTGCAGCGCTGGGGATAGACACAAAACTGCAGATGGTAATCAGATATGACATGCAATATGCAAAATCGGCTTTCAAAGTGCAATACGTGATATCATTTCTGGTAATCACAGACAAATAAAAAACGTCCAAGTAAGGAGACGTGTGACGTGGAGATCCTGTGGAGTTACTGCTTATGGTAGAAATGTGTGATCCAAAGGTGATAGGTAATTAATGAACAGAATGCGCACTCACCAGAAGTGCATATATAATACGCATTAAGGAGATCTCCCGTATCATCATGTAAGCTCATCCGTATTCAGGTCAGGCTGCATTCGCTATCATCATCTGGTCACAGGCACAACAGGATTCCAGGGTTCATCAGTCAGTCACATCATCCGGGGTCAGCTCTTAGGGCAGGCACTGCGGAAGGTGGCACTCATAAAGAGAGCCCAATAAGGGACACCACATAGTGTGACACTGTTTGGATGAAGTTTATTCCAATGTAAGGTAAGTAAAAATCACAATACTGACCAGAGGTTCAAGATGGCCACATCTTGGCCATCTAGCGGTGGCTAGATGTCCAGATGCTGTAGCCCCCCTGACATGTTTCGTGCTAAGCACATATTCATAGGGTGCAGGGCTTACAGCAGGACATCTGCACTGGGCTATTTATATTCAATTCTGGCGCTCGTGCTTATTGCGCCCGCCATTTTGCCGGCTACCGGCACCATTTTGCCATGGATCGCGGTGACTCGCAATTTCCTTCCCTCTTTAGAAACAGCGTGCGCATATCGGCGCCATTGTATTATAGGGAAAGGAAATTGTGTCACTCATCAGTGAGCCAGAAATATAGCGGATCCTTTTTTAGCTCTGTAGAAGCTGCTGCGTGCGCATAGCGGCGCCATTGTGTTGGAGGCAAAAGGAACCTGTATCACTCTTCAGTGAGCCAGAAATACAGTAGATCCGTTTTAGGCATATGGGATTGCTCAAGAATAAGGATAATTATCCATTAAGCATGTTATGGTGGGCAATGAGATTAGGTAGTAAATTAAGAGACCCTTAGTGCCCCTAAATGGATATGGTGTATATATATATATACAGTTGCAAGAAAAAGTATGTGAACCCCTTGGGATTACGTGGAGTTTTGCATGAATTGGGCATAAAATGTGCTCTGAACGTCATCTAAGTCACAACAATAGAAGAACACAGTCTGCTGAACATAATACTACACAAACATTAGATGTTGCCATGGTTTAATTGCACATAACATGTAAACATTCACAGTGCAGGGAGGAAAAAGTATGTGAACCTTTGGACTTAATAACTGGTTGACTCTCCTTTGGCAGCAATAACCTCAACCAAACGTTTCCTGTAGTTGCAGATCAGACCTGCACAACGATCTGGAGTCATTTTGGACCACTCCTCTTCACAAAACTGTTTCAGTGTAGCAATATTCTTGGGATGTCTGGTGTGAATCGCTCTCTTAAGGTCATGCCACAGCATTTCAATCGGGTTGAGGTCAGGACTCTGACTGGGCCACTCCAGAAGGCGTATTCTGTGCTGTTGCAGCCATTGTTTTGTTGAATGACTTGTATGCTTTGGGTCATTGTCCTGTTGCATCACCCATCCTCTGCGGAGCTTCAGTTAGCGGACAGATGGTCGTACGTTTTCCTGCAAAATGTCTTGATAAACTCTGGAATTCATTTTCCCATCAATGACAACAATCCGTCCAGGCCCTGAGGCAGCAAAGCAGCCCC